CGAGCGCGACAGCCTCGGAAATTCGAGGACGTCACGTCCTCCCTGGCGGATTATCTTATCGTCGCGAGCGTAATTTCGGTCGCGCAATCGCCCCCGCACACCCCCGAGTGTTATTCTCGCGCTTATGCGAGAGTTAAACAATGTAGCGGAGTTTAAATTACGCCGGTCGGAACTCGCACGGCGAGTAAATTTCTGTTCGGTTCGCAGACTTCTTGGTTGCAATTAAATTCGCGCACGAGCTTGTAACTCTTTGCTTCCCCGTTATTCCACGGTCAATTATACCGGGGAACGAACGTATGCACGCACGAACGCACGCACGCACGCACGCACGCACGCACGTCGACGAACGTTTCGTACGGACGTTTGGTTTCGCGACGTGGTGCCGTCGACGACGACGGGACGACGGCGCTTTAAAAGCGAGTGCGTGCCAATTAGACAGACAGCTCGTAAACGCGTATGCCACGGTCGGCGTGTCATTCACCGACTTACCTGCGTCCTCGTTAAGCTCGCAGACGGACTAATGATTCAACAGGTGTTGCACGCCGGGACGAGCGACGGCGGCGGTCGCGCTTTTTTGTTCGCCGCTGAAAAGGACCGGTGGAGGACCGTCGCCGATACGCAACGAAAACCGCCGCGAATCCGGCCGGACGATGGACCGGGAGCGGCTTCGACGTCGTGTGAATGGCACGGTCTCTGGCAAACGCGAGCCCGGACGAAGGACAAGGATGACGACGACGACAATCAGCGACGGAGAGAGAGAGAGAGAGAGAGAGAGAGAGAGGGAGAAAAAACGTCCGCGTCTCTCGCAGAGATGCTTGGAATTTGAGTTTAGATGTTCCCGCATTCTTTATGGACCGTTTTAGGATTTTTTGCTTGCCAAAGCGTCGTGTGATCGCGAACAACGTAAGCGGCGACAACGAAAAGCGTCAGACGGCAAAATCGATTTTTGCGCGCAATTGGTTATCGCCAATAAGCGAGAAATTGTCCTTGCGCCGAAGTTTTGGTCGCCGGTGCCTCATTCTCTCTTTTCTCTGTCGAGTCCTCGGCTTCAAACAAGCGTCCTTGTCGCTCTCGGGATATCGCTTCTCGCCTGTCTCGCTTGTATCGCGGACTGGATGAAGATCGATACTCGCGGTCACGCGAATAAATACGCGATAATGAGATGCGGCCGGGGATCAAGGACGAGAGACACGCGCGCGCGTGAACGTTGACGTCGTCCTTTTAAAATATTCGTATCCGCGGGATGTTATAGCCGGCACGGGACGAGCGGGATAATTTAAATTCAATGTGCACACCAACCACACTGGCCGCTCGCAAATCGCGCCCTTTCTGCCGTCCTCGCCCCTCTCGCCCTCGCTCGTGCGGCGATGCACCACCGTCTCGCGGCTCTCGCACGTAATTCTGCGCGCGCACGTGTGTGTGCGTGTGTGTGTGTGTGTGAGAAAGAGAGAGACAGATTTGTTATTTATTTATTCAAACCGCCTCGCGTGCATAATCGACGCGCACGCATTCTTCCTCCCGTTTCTCTCTCTTTCTCTCTTTCTCTCTCCCCCTTCATGCGCGCGCGCTCGTCCCTCGATATCTGGAATTCACTCGGACTCGGACGATTATTGACCGCGCATTACAGTGTCATAAATATTATGGCGAGCGTGACCCGTGGCAAAGCGCACACGATTTTAATGGCTTTCGTTTAATTTCGGTCGCTGCGAGATCAACGACTGTTGTTATTGTTATTGTTGTTGTTGTTGTTGTTGTGTTGTCATTGTTGTTGTTCTTGTTTTGTTGTTACTGACCGGTTGCAGCGGCACCAGCAGCGTCGAACACGATTAATCAATCCGCGCGTCGATCGTATATAATAACGCGATGCGAGAACGACAAACGGAATTGCAATGTTACGTGACGTTAATAACCGACGCTAATAAGCATTAATCGGCTGTAATGGGCTGAAAGAACGGCGCTCGCCGGCGGCAGATTAATGCTTCGATTTTGCGTGTCGACGCAGCGTTGCGCACGCAAAATCGAAGCATGTGTGCACCACACATTTCGGCCGAATTCTGAGATCGATGAAATTTAATCGCGCAAACTGAGGGAATTCGTAAAAGAGGGCGCGTTTCCGCCATTTACGTTTCCCTCCGCTTCTTTATTCGCGCGGAGATTATCGGTCGCATATTTCTATCGGCACGATAATGCGCCGCGGGCGAGCAAACGAAAAAGTGAGAGCGAGAGGAAGAGAAAGAGAAAGAGAGGGAGAAAGAGAGAGAGAGAGAGAGAGAGAGAGAGAGAGAAACATTTAAATACGGAATATTTAGATAACACGATACCAATCAACGCGAATCCGATACACGCGGCGTCGCAAATAGAAAACGTCTCGGCCAACGTAATTATTTCCGCTCGAGACCGCATCTAACGCGATCTAACGCGCACGTAATGAACGTTCGAAAACTTCCCGCTAACATTCAGCTACGTACGTGGTTTCAGGAGTTCCCGAGGCGAAGTGACCGTTCGCCGCGCGTCGACGATCGTCGCGGGCGAAAGCGCCGTTTGTAGGAAAAGTCATCGCGCGACCGTCCGCTCGCTCGCGCACGTAAAGCGGTCCGCACACTTTTCGTTTGTTCAATCGCGACAACCACGCGACCTGCGTGTGCAAGCGCGCGCGCGCGCGCGCGCGCGCGCGTGTGTGTGTGTGTGTGCGCACCTGCAGCGTGGCGACGCCGCGTTGTTTACTTAGAATCCTCGCCGCTCGCGTGACGTTCAAAGTTCAGCGCGAGATTCAACGACGCGACGCATACTTTGCGTAGGGCGGGCCGGGCAATTAAAAAGCCAAGGAAATTAAAAACCCACGAGCGCTCTTTGACGGCGATTACTCGTCGCCGCCTCCTGCTTCATCGGATGCTCGAGCAAATACGACAATAATTTCGCCCTAATTAAAAGGCTCCGCTTTACGGGGAAGCAGGAAAGCGGGACTTCGGCCGGCCTTTCGCGCGCGCGCGTGGTTTTGTGCCCGAGCGGAAACCGCTCAGAGCGGAATGAACGAGAGAGGGCATTCTCTTTCACGAGAACGCGCTAATTGCCGTCTTTCCAAAAAGGGGGACGAAAATAGACTTCGCAGCTGCCGGGTATATCGCGGTTAACGCGCGGCGCGGACGCACCGTGCGCTCTCAACTCGTTTCTCTCGCGGAGCTGAGGTGGACTCTCGCCTCTCGCTTCTCCCGTTTTCCCCATTTTCCCAGCGACGACGAGAGCAAGGCTCGCGTCGATAGCAAGCCGCGTTCGAAATTGACGAACCGAATCTCTCTCTCTCCTCTCTCTTTCTCTCTCTCTCTCTCTCTCTCTCTCTCTCCGTCCGGCTGTGTCCGAGCCGTGAACGAGCGGCATAGCAATCTAATCGGACGCGGACGCGCGAATTATCAATGGAACCCGCACGAAAGTGTGCTAAACGGTTGCGTAAAGTGCAAATCATACCTCGCGCGTAGTCACGGAGCGCGCAGTTTCCGATCGCGTTCGCGATCCGGCAAGGTCATTGGCTCTCGCGCGGGACAAGACGTAATTGCCGCGCGCGCCGTATAATTGCGCGGAGTCCATTTTTTCAAACCGCGCACTGCCGCCACCGCCCACGCGCGTGTCGTCGTCGAACACCTCTCGGCGAGACGAATTGACGTTTCGGCGAGAGCCGCTAAATCATTAATTAATCGACGGTGGATATTAATCGCCATAACGCGCGACCGGCGACCGGTGTCGAGCGAACAGACACGTTTTCACGCGCAGCCACAAAGTCGACTACGGGATTGCAACGATAAATCGATAATATCGAAATATCGATATATCGAGGGACAAATATCGAATATTTACCGATATTCTTTTGTCCCCGATAAAATCGTTATATCGATATGAATTTTACTGACATTTCGTATTTTTCAGTTACGGAGCTCTGGGGGTCTATTACGGTTCTACGACCGAGATGGAAATTACAAAAGTGAGTGAATTCACTGGAATATATATTATGTAACTGCTGGTCGATGTGCAGTAAACTCGCTCATTTTCATCATTTTCACCTCAATCGTTGAACCGTAATAGATCTCCTGCTCTATGTACGCGGCAATCTCCGCCAAACGACTGCGGTTTATTATATATTTTCTAACAAGAATATGACAATAAATTATATGAAGATAAAAATTGTTAAAGGATCTTTTTAAATTTTTTCACGTATACCCTTTATACGCATATCCTCTATATGTATACATTTTTTTATATAAACATCGATATTTTTCAAAATTATCGATAATATCGTTGACGATGTTTTGAGAAATCATTGCATCGGACTCCCGACTCCCGACTCCCTACTTCAGCATCGAAAACAGCCGCGGCGGGCGAGAGGGCAAGGGGGTGGGAGATGTGCGCTATTGAGCGAAGGCGGAAAACGCGTTGATTGCGACTAGGAAATGCGACGACGCGAGGAAAATAATTTCGCAGCGCGCGCGTGCGAGTTTCCGCCACGCGCGCGATTCACCGGCTCTTTCCGCGAACGCGAGAAGCGCCCGGACGTTAATTGCGTAAGTGGGGGAGATGTGTTTCTTCGCGCTCGGACGTCGAAGACCGGCGCGCTCAGGAAAGAGCCAATTTACTACCTCGTGCGCGCGTGTTTTATGCCTCGCTCGCGCGTTTCTGGACGATATTTATCGTCGTATTTTCTTTCAGCCGGGATTATTTTCGCTCGATCCTTCGCGCTTCGGACTTGCGCGCGCGACTACAATTCTACGCACGCAAGTGCGCTGCCTCGATGATGCTCCAAGTGATTTATATCAGGGATATTGTGTGCGTGGGTTCTCTCTCTCTCTCTCTCTCTCTCTCTCTCTCTCTCTCTCTCTCTCTTTTCGCGAGCTCTCTTTAGGTGTTGCATAAAGCTGTTCGGCCAGCATGCGGTAAACGCACGCGGGCAATACCCACGCGATATATATAGCGACGGTATCTCAAACTTGACGTAACTCTGTGTGTTTACTCACGTATAAATTCCCATTCGTCGAACCTTATCTCCGAACTCGACCAGGCAGCTCCGTTCCTCGGCGGCCGATGTGAAGGATCGAAGCCGGTAATTGCCAGAGGGAAGGTCTCCCCGTCGTTTCTCCGCGCTTCCTTTCTCTCACGGGACACCACCGGCGACAGGAGAGGGGCGGTGACTTTGCCAGGCTGGAAATAAAGGACACGTATACTTTTAGACGAGAGTGCTATCCCTCTTTCGGTATCGTTCTATCTGTCTCTCGGCTAGCGCGCGCGGTTGGATAATCCACGTGCCAACGACGGTCGTTATCGCGATGCTCCGAGGGAAACTTCCCGGGGCGGAAACATCATAAGATACGGGAAAAGTGCACGAGTTGTCGAAACACGAGTCGGTCGGTCGGCCGGTCGATCGAGGCCTTCGCTCGGGGGTCCTGCGACGGCGAGCGAGAGCGTGGGGGTAAGCTCGACGGAAAAACTCTCGCGTGAGGAAACGGACGCGATTGAAAGAGAAGAGAGGAAACGAGAGGTGCCGAGACACGAATCAATTTATAATCGCAGTCCCACTGCGCAACCCTCTGTGTTGCGATATTTCTGTAAAATATCTCCACACACACTCTCACACACACACACACACACACACACACACATATATTCACGCACGGAGCGTCGCGTCCGCTGGCATGCTTTACGTAATTTTAATTTCACAGCGAGGATAATTTCACGTAACGCGTCACGATTTTTAGCCGCCTCGCGCGAGTATCGTCTCGCAGTTATAATTTTTCCGCGCTTGCGCGCGCGCGCGCGCGCGGTTGCAAATCTTTGCGCGTTTTCACGGTTACGATGTATTTTACGATTTCACGACTCCGCGACGCTAATGTAATGCGCGACGCGAGCCGGCAAAAAAGCCCGCGTGATTCGCGGCGCATTTTTTTCGTGTTACCGGATATCGTGGGCTATGCTTGCCAGGAGTGCGGTCGTTGATCACATCCGTCGAGGCAACTACGGGCGATCGATTTATTACCGGTGCAGCCGCGTCGCGCCAACGACCGTGCGGGACACCGTCGGGATAAAAAAAATCAGTTAAGTCCAGTCGACCCCGACAACGTCCCTCTCTCGGAGAGAGAGAGAGAGAGAGAGAGAGGGAGAGAGTGGGGGGGGGGAGGGAGAGAGTATGAAGCGATAAGGGGCTAATATAAGTGAAAATCCCGGTGTTAATATGTGGCGCGGAGCCGAGCAAGAGGAATGCTTAATGGTCGGGCAACACGCGATCCCACCCGGCCTTTTTCCTTTATTTTCTCCTCTCTCCCTCTCTCTCTCTCTCTCTCTCTCTCTCTCTCTCTCTCTCTCTCCTTCCCTCTCTTTCTCATCGCTGGTCTCCATGTCCGCTTCGCGCCGCTCCTCCACCACCTTCGCCACCCGCTGCTTTTCTCTCTCTCTCTCTCTCTCTCTCTCTCTCTCTCTCTCTCTCTCTCGTTCTCCCGTTTTCACCCAGTTACCGTGATCCAGCACGTTCGAAATTCATGAGTGTGCAAAATGAGCAGCGAGAATAACGGAATAAAAGCGCGCGGAATATGCTCGCCTTATGAAAAAAATGCGCCATTTTATTGCAGCCAAAACATTTATGTTAATTAATCTCGGTATCAGTAGCACAACGTACATACGCGTAATGCGCGCTCAGCCCGCCCTCGCCCGTTTACGGGATTACGGCTTTTTAGCCGACAACGCGGAGCGGAAGTTTCCGCCGCGCTGATCCTTCATCGGCGGAAGGAGATTACTCGTCACAGACGCGCGCGCTTTCGCACGGGGAAATCATACATCTTGCGTCATTTGCGCACTCGAGAGACGCGATTCCCCCGGCTACTCGTCCCGCGGCTCGCCGCAATAGCGCGCTTTAACCCGCGAACTCCGTTCGCGTTCCTCGCGCGATCGGCGCGCGGAGAGAGACGGACCACGCCTCGATTTCATTCACACCGCAGAGGCGCTCGCGCGCCTCAATTATTCACGCGGAATCCACGCCGCGCCTTCTCTCTTTTCCTCGCTATCTCTCTCAGCCTCCCCCTCTCCCGCACCTTTCTTCGCTCCGCCGACAGGCAGGGCAGCCAAGTCGCGCGCGGAATTGAATATTTCGTGCGACGACAACGGGCGAGAAACCGGCCTCCTCCTCGCCCGTGTGTCGTCGGTTCGTCGAGTAAACGAGAATGACTCGTTGGAAGCGCGCGCAGCCTCGTTAGCAAGTTTCGCGCCTCGCGTGTAATATAATAACAATCCGCGGCGCGGTACGCGCGGCTCGAGGCGAGCGCGAGGCTGCCGCGCGCGCGCGCGCGCGCTGAGCGAACAACGCCCGCCGAATTATTCTCGCGCACAGTCGAGCCGGAGCGTGTTAATGTGTGTTCGTGGATAATTGATGATAAATACCAAGAGGAGTACATCTGCGATGTGCTCCAAGTGTACGCATCTATTAGACGATACAGCCACTTGAAGAGACGCGGCGTTAATTACTTCGAGCGGTGCACGTTACGTGCGAATGCGAATTCGAAACATCTCAGCCTGATACACACGCGCAAGACAAACGCAGAGGAAGGGGAGGAATCAAAGAATCCTCCCCCTTCCCCCTCGCCCCGCGAGATCAGTGAGCATCAAAGGGTTAAACGATCGCGATAGACCGCGGCGGCTGCCTCGAGGATAATCGCGATGAGTTTCTCTCTCTTTCCGTCGGGCTCTCTCTTTCCTTCTTCCTCCCCTCCCCCTCTCTCTCTCTTTCTCAGCGAGCTCGGTCGACAGAAAGGAAAGCCGAGCACGTCGCTGCGCCGGCATCGTTTCTCCGCGGCGAAACTGGAACGGGGTTTTACGGGCGGTTATTTACGATCGAGGTTATGAGAAAGGCGGGGGCCGCCGCCGCCGCCGCCGCCGCCGCCGCCGCCTCGATCCGCTGCGCGAAATCTGCGGAAGGGTACCGCCGCCCGCACCGGACGCGAATTACGTCTCGCTACGCCACGAGACGGTAATCAACGCGCGCTTTCGCGCGAGACCTCCGCGTCTCGAGGAAAACGGCTGTGGCGCGCACGCGTCCTTGTCGGATCGACGGAAAAGGGATTTGCGGATCGGTCGCTCTAAGGTCCACCATAAAAAATTTTGCACCCTCGTAGAAATAGCAGGGGCAGGGGGAAGAGGGCCGAACGCGCGCGGCCCGGCGCACCGCGACGAAAAATTACAACGGCCGCGGGTAAGCGTAGACTCGCGGCGGACGTCACCGGTGGTACCTGTGATACACACCTCCGGAATATCGGGAACAAAATACTTCGCCTGATTAGCGCGTTGACCAAATTGCTGGAAATGTCCCCGGCGACCGGCCGATGCGCCACGGCGCGGCGGCGATGCATGGTAGATTTGAAGCGCGGTTACCGCAACGCAGCGGCGACACGACGCACATCTTGGAAATTTCACCGACGATAAACTCACTAAACGTCACGGGAGGACCGTGTGAATAGTCGAGAGAAGCATGCGAGTCGAAGAAAGAGAGAGGGAGAGAGAGAGAGAGAGAGAGAGAGAGAGAGAGAGAGAGAGAGAGAGGCAAAAGGAGAAAGAGAGATACGGGATAGATTTATCTTCGGAGAGCTTCAATGGTTGCGTTCAGAAAACAAAGCGCTCACTGAGCGCTTAGTAACCATTGGTCCTTACTATTACATCCTTACATTCAGGCCAATAACGTTGACGAATTATTCAACCGTTGTGTAACCGTTGTGTTTTCTGAACGCAGCCAATAACGTCGTAACGCGTCGAAACGCTTCGATTGGCGAGAGCGTTTCGTCGTCCGAGGCGGACAGATCTCGAGATGCGTCGCGACGTTGAATCGTCAATGCCGCGTCACAGGACGCGTCCGATACGGCGACGAGCGTCGCGATCGAAAGAGACACTTGGCGTCCGAGGATCTCGGATCGACGAGGCGCTACCCTGAGCCTGCAGTCTCAAGAAAGCGCGCGCGACCGCGGAGCTCGGCGAGTTCAAGGTCGCGTCGTATCCGCTCGCGCTCTTGTAACACGCCACGCTCGTTGTCCACATCGGCAAATTCGTGTCGACGGAGAGCTGATGAGGAGCCGGAGGTGAGAGCATTTCACTCGTCATCGGAAATCGATTCGGCGCGGTCGCACACCGAGAGATCGCGCGCTCGCGATCTCTCGGGAGGGACGAATTTATTCGATCCAACTCGACGAGCGAGGCTCGTCGACGAGATCCGTACCGGGCAATTAAAGGTAAATTAAAATTATCTCGGTAATGTCGCTCTCTTATCGGTTGGAAAATCAGCCGGGCCTCGCAGAATACGCGGCAGTCAATCATACGAAATAATCAGCCGGCCGCTACCGGCGAATTTTACCGATTTCGACCCTCCCTGCCGCCCTGCCGGCAATAACGGCTGTCGCGCGACTTTAATTACGAGCGTGCTGAAAATCATTAGCGTCGCGCGTTTGTCGCCGTGAATCGCCGCCGCCGCCGCGGCGAAAACAAGAAACGAGTATCCATCGCGAAAACAGACATTTCACTTTGACTCACCGTTGCATATAAATAGAATAGTTACTAATTCGACCTCTGCGGCCCGGTCGCTCACGATAACGCGGCGCGACGCGACATCGTCGTGTTATCGCCGTGATACTGACATATCATAATCGAGATTATCCGACAGTTCGCGACGACAATCGCGGGAATCCGCGGATGCATTTTCCGCGCGACTGCGCGAGACGTCCGATTGTTTTGGCGCGCATGCAGCACGCACGACGGCGAAGAGGAGGACTCAACAGCCGGCCGGAGAAGCGAGAAGAACCCGTAGACGACGACGACGACGACGACGACAACGGCGGTGGCGAGGAGAAAGAGCGCCGGCCGTGTAATCTCCGAAGGCCGGCGCTGGCGCGGCGCCAACGCCAGCATCCGCTCTACAAATGTCGCTAAATATATGCGCTAACCGCTTCTAAACAGAGCACAAAACTTGGCCGATTGTACGATCGGGCGCCTCTCGACATCGGCAGCTGGAACGAGCGGCGATCGTCAGGAACGCGAGGCGGCCAATGAGCGGTGGAATGAAAAACGATTCAGCAACTTGTCCGTTTGATTCGCTGCCGCCGATGATAAAACAAAGAAACAAACGAAGAGAAAGGAAGAAGGAGAAGGAAACGTTTGTCTCCATCTCGTAGAGG